TTTTATCTTAGAAGCATCACATTTTAGAGTTGAAAGGGTTGTTAACAGTCAATCCAGTCCAAAGTTTTCTGTGGTTTCCACATAAAAAGTGAGAGTTCTTGCCTTATGATGAAGTGTGGGAAATTTGTCTATAGTTATGTAATACTGACTATCATTTGCGTGATTCTTACACAGCATTCAAGAAAGTAAGCGCTACACAACCCAAACATAAAACAAATCGAAAATCATATAATCTGAACTTCACCGTTTCAATTACCTTTTCTTGCCAAAGTATAGCATGAATCTTCCTAAAAATACAAAGATTGTCATCATTTGTATCTGTCCAGATGGAAAATTCCTTGATTTAAGGGAGAAAAATAAACCAAAATAAAATCTATTAGAAGTTTGAACATTGTTACTTTCCTGATTTTTTCAAAAAAATCTTTTTTATTCAAAAGTCTTTGCCTAAAAAGACAAAGAAAAAAGGCAGCTATATTGAATATAGCAAAATATGTGAGTTGTCTCTGCTGTTTCATTAATGGAAATTTTAGAGGAAAAGGAAATTACGTAAAGTGTAATGTCTCATAAATACAGCAAAAGCTATTCCAATGGGGGAGCGTCTCTCTTGTAGAGAAGCTTCCAGATACCCAAAAGGCGGTTTTACCAAAATGTACTTTTTAAAAGATCAGGTTTTGAGGCTCTGAATATGAATCATGGTCATTTGTATCCTAGATGGATTTGAAGTCATCATTTTTGACCAAATGTTTAGGGTACTTAAGGCAGGCACATTTTAGAGATCAATTAGAAATAGACCTGTTTGGTTCTTCTTCTTTAAAGGGAGACTTACCTAGTGCCCTGACCTTAGAGTGATTTCATTTCAGATTGACCTTTACTTTCCAATAGGCAATTCTTACTTAGGAATTTTTAAACTGGTTATAACCTACACTTCTGACTTCCTAATATGGGTCAATCTGATGTTAAACATATGTGTTCTCTTTCTTCTCCATTTTTAGGAATTTCTCCCACTTAAAATATGTATACATTTTATGTGAGTCACCAAGGCTGAGTTATAAGCATGAAAAATGACCCTGTTTCTTGGAAAGGAGTTTTTACTTACAAGTCCCCCAGGTCCTACAATGTCTAAACCTCCTGTGCCACTTTATAGGATCTGCCCACCCCGCAGAGGAGCCAATACAAGAAAAGCAGGCTTCCCTTCCCCCACATATTTCCTCAGTTTATTTACGAAATGTCTTGGAATGAGAATGAGCTGCTTGTGGTTTCTGTGGCTGATTCAGCAATGGTTTCCTCTAGGCAGAAGATGCTGGTCAACCGAATGACCTCTTTCTAGTTAGCCCATACACCCTTCTGGTAAGGCTATTTGGTCGTATGGGCACCCCTTCTTACTAAGCCTAGTGGAATTTGTTTCATAATAACCAAATATCTCAATATTTTTAGTAATAACCAAATAACTTAATAATAAACAAATATCACAGTGTAGCTAGAACTAATCGTGGTGAAGTCCATAAGAGGCTGGCTCTTGAAGTACTAACAAAACTCTAGAAATACTCTAGGATGCTTTCAGATTCTTGTGCATCAACCTTTGCCTCTCAAAATGTCCTGATGCTTCCCTTTGGGATTGCCGCAAGAACAATGAAGCTATTGATGCCATATTTGTGTAGAGAGTGCATCGTGGGAAGAAATCATGCGGGGTCCATTGTATCTAGCAGTGCTCCATCACCTAACACACGGAACCTGATAACTGGTCCCTGATCTTCAGCAGGTTTACAGTTGTGAAGCATCACTTAAACATAACTATCTCAAATGTTTGTGTGTTTATTTCCTCAGGTTTCCTAGTTGAGATTCTGGTCAAAAGGAGTAGCAGTAGTTCTTAGGGTGGGTTGATAAGCATCTCTGAGGTTGTTAGTTGATTGTGCCAACATGTGGGGTTAATTGAACGGGGGAGGGATAAATGGCTCGGTAAGCCTCGCCTTTCTAGTTCTCCAGTCTCTTGCTTTGTGGTGGTCGCACCAGGGTGCAGCAGCCTTAGCAGTTCCCTGCTTCAGCTTGCAAGGCTGACTTCCTGCAAGATATCCCCAAGAAGAAGCTTCATGGACCTACCCCGATGCAGCCCTGGGTGCTGGAGCAGCCGTGTGGAGACCCCTGCCAGTGCTGAGATGTTTACACATTCACTGATTCAGCTTTCCTCCTGCAGTCGGCATCATTGTGTCTGTTTTGTGAGATGGAGGAGGACTTTGTGGACTGGTGTTGGACATATGGGTTCATGGGTTAATGTTGGACTTGTGGGTTTGGGCAGCGCTGGGTTGGGATGTTTTCTTGATGTGCACTTAACCTTTACATAAAACTCTCTCTCTCTTATACATGAGTTTCTGTGGATTTGTTTCTCTAAAGTACCCAGTCTAACACAATCTCTAACCCAAGTAAGTAAAACATGATGGTTCAAAATTTATGATAAAAACTGAACATGTTATTGTAAACATTCACATATGAGACACATGGAAACACTGGTAAGATAAGTCTTGCATTTACTTGAACCTAGAACCAAACTAATGTTGCATTGCATTGATGAATCTATTGCAAAAAAAAAAAAAAAACCTGCTTAAAGAGCAAAGATGTGGCTTTGAGGACAAAGTGGCACTTGACCCAAACCACAGTTCTTATGCGTGTGAAATAAAAGAGACCTAACAAGAATCGATGCCTGCGAATTCTGGTGTTAGTAACGAATATTGAATACACTGTGGATTGCCAGAAGAATGAACAAATAGGAAGTTCCTTAGAAGGGCAGATGGTGAGACTTGGTGTCACAAACGGGCATGCCACCAGGAAGGGCATCCCTGAAGAAGGACATCATGCTTGGTAAAGTCGAGGGTCAGCAAAAGAGGAGAAGACCCCCAACTCTGCTACGCAGCGGCCCAGCAATGGGCTCAAATGTGGAAGCAATTGTCAGGCTGGCAGAGGACCCAGGCAGTGTTCCATTCTGATGTGCGTAAGGCCACTTTGAGTCAGCATGGACCCCGCTAACAAACAACACCAGGTGTTAATGGATAGATACTAAACTCGTGTGAAATTAACATGTCAGGAAAGTACTGGGACAAATGACCTCTACCAAAGATCGGTTTGCACTTAATCAGAGTAAAACTCTTGTTTTATCTTAGAACTTATTTTCTTCAAGTTAAATCCTAGTGTGCATTGTCAACTTTGCGGAAGCAATTAAAGGCATGTGCTTATTATCATCCACAAAATAAATGAAGAACCAAACTAATGCATATTAATGATAGTGTTTAAATGAGCATAAAATTACCCAGTCCTAAATCTCCTACGGTTTTACATTGAACAATGATATTTTGACTATCAATATTCTGACAGTCAACATTGATAGTTCAATGATGACATTTGGACTCTATATACAGATCCATGAGTATATACACACACACACACAAACACACAGAAAGATCACTCAAAAAGTATTGTAATAAAAGTCATAGAAATATTTATTAAATGAAAACATAAACGTGTAAAACTATTGTTTCTTGACATGTCATCTGTCCGGATCTCAGCACCTCTGAATGCTGTTCATATCTTACTGGTAACCTTTCTCCAAAGAATTCCGTGCTCTCCAATTTATACCTCATCAAAATGACAGTTTTGACATCCTCAAGGAATTCAAATGTTCCTTTCAAATGTTCTTTGATTTGGGAGAATAAAAAGAAGTCTGAAGGGGCTAGGTCAGGGCTGTTGTGTGGACGAGCAAGGTTGTCTGAGGACATGCTCCACCACAGCTTGGAAGCACATTCGCTGTCGTGAGTCTGAAAACGCCCAGTGCAACTGCCTTGGCCCTTTCCTCCCCACTGCCATTTTCCGTTTTCTTAAAACTTCTTCCGAACAAGCTCCTATGTTCCTCCTCTGTCCTTTGGGAAGATGTACCAAGATTACCTCTTTGGGATCCCACAGAGCAGTCATCATATCTTTTCCGAGCTGACCTCCCTGCCTTGAATTTAACTGGCTCACCAGACCCCTTTGGAAGCTACGGTTTTGATTAGACCTTCTGTTTGAAGGCAACTTAACGAGACAAAGCCAAGTGTCTTACTGAGAAAACATGTCGGCAGTCCTTCACTGCTCGTGCAGATATGTTTAAGTATGTTTTGTTTGGAACAAACGCATGCATATATGAACTAGAACTGGAGGAGCAATACTGTCTTTGTGTGTGTGTGTGTGTATGTATCCAGTTGCTCTTTCAGGGCTTCAAATCAGTTCTAACCAGTTCAGTGATGGCCCATGGAGTGCAATATGAACAGACCTAGATGTTTAAAATCCAGTAAACAGAATGAGAACCAGAAAAGAGAGAGAAATTACAGCAAGAAGTCCTGCGATAGACTGAGAGACATGTAGTGAGCCCTTTCAGTAGGCTGATGCAGGAGACTGGATTGTTACCAGGACTGTGAAGAGTGACACACATTCAGAGCAGTGCAGTCAGCCACCAGCTCTGAACAGGGCACCGCTGTTTTGGATTCTGCTAGTCAAAAGATTGGGTTGGTACCTAAAGGACACGGTGCCCCTATTTTCTAAGAGGGAGGTCGTGTTTCTAGAAGGGCATCAAACCATATTTCTCCCCGTTCCAGGTATCATTCTGGTTCACCCATATTTTACAAATTCAGATCTGCTCCATTTTCACTGTGCCAGCCATGACCAAACTGGGAAGAGCCGATTCAAGGCCCAATTCTGATTCATAGCAACCCAGAGTAAATATGCCCCCAAAGGTTAGTGGTGGGTGTGAAAATCTAAAAGTAAATTCAGGGATTTATTCTTTTTCAGAAATTTAATAACTTTGAAATTAAAAACTATACATTTATTTTTCAGAAACTATAGGCCACAGACTAAAGAGGAGTGTGGGCAATCTCACCTCATCCATCTATTGCTACAATTGAAAGCTAATGACAGAAAGACTGCTCTTCAATGTCTGCATGTATGATTTCACTTGTGTCTTTTTACATTTGTCTCCCCAGTGCATCCTAATGTCAGTCAAGGCTGCCAAGGAGGCTGTGCAACGTGTTCAGATTACAATGGATGTTTGTCATGTAAGCCCAGACTATTTTTTGTTCTGGAAAGAATTGGCATGAAGCAGATTGGAGTGTGTCTCTCTTCATGCCCAAGTGGATATTATGGAATTCGATATCCAGATATAAATAAGTGTACAAGTAAGTGCCACACAAAATTAAAGCTTTATCTCATCCTTGGGAACTATTCCAGGTTGGAATGGCCTCTAACACATTTTTAATGTTCAATGTCAATTAAATTTGAGTTTATGAAAAAAATTCTAAATTCCCAATTTGAAATCAAATATTACTCCACTCAGGGTTCATGGAAATTTTAAAACATATTCCAAACCAAAAAGCTATAGAATTTGAGTTTTATACTTTCAGTTTGATCTTAAACAAATGACTAGATTTAGAGTCTCTTATTTTGCATTTTTGGGGGGTGCATAGTTTCGGAACATATTTTCACAGAAAAACCTTCGGTATTTTCATGTCTCAATTTCAAATCTTTGGAGGGACTAATTTGAAAAACTAGAAAGTAGATTAATATGTAAATGATGTGATTGTCACAAAGAGAGTGTTTTTATTCATAGTTTCATTGTAAAGTTTAATGTAGTTGAAGTAGAGTAAAAACGTTTTGACTTCAGCCTTCCAATTTAATTTCTCTTCTGGCAATCTAATGTATTTCATAAAGTTTTGTAGAGTAATGGTGTTTCTAATTATTTCCAACTCTTCGTTTAGAAAGACACATTAAACACATACATAAACCCAACATTTAATTCTTTTCATTTACTACAAATTTATCTAGAGTGGTGCACTGTGATGTCAACATTTTAGCATTTTAAAAACTAAAGAAGGCCAATGTACCCTAATTACCTGACCCTGACATTCTCTTCTCTGCACTGCACCCACCTTTCGGAGCTGCAAATTGAAATCTCCCAAACACCATATGTGGCCCTGCCTACTTCACCAGCCTCGTCTGCTGTACCTCACAGTCATCGGCTTTGCAACAGCCGAGCAAGTCTTCGAAGACAGTTCCGTGTTCAGACTTTGCGAGACTGTTCCTCATGGATGTCCCACACTTTGCGAGACTGTTCCTCATGGATGTCCCACACTTGCTGATCTGGCTGTTGGGAAAGCTTTTCTTCCACATATTTTCATTGACTGGCTCTTATTTTATTCAAGAATTTGCTTTAGGTCCCTTCCCTAGGGCCCAGGAATTCCCTGAAGATGTTATCCAAAATACCCAGATTCTTCCCATTACCAGTTATTGTCCATCTCCCTTTCCTGGCTCCCCTGCCCCCCCACTCCCCAGAGCACTGGTCACTCTGAACCAGAACTCCTGGTTTCGAACCAGTCTTATCCATGAACTCGGGCTAGTTTGCATAACTTTCGGAGACCTTCATCTCCTTATCTATAAAATGGGACTTTCTCTTTCAGATTGAAATTACTTGATATATAGTAAAACACTTGTGGCAATGCCTAATTTAGAAGCACCATATTAGGGTCAACTGTACTTACTGTTTGTTATGTCTCTCCATCTACAATATAAGCCTTATAAAGTCTTATCCCTATTTTGCACTGCTGTCTAACCAACGCCCCAATAAATAGGGTAGGTCAAAAAGTATGACCACGAGGGTTTCAATTCATATATGCACATATTTATTCCAAACCAATCATGCTTAAACATGTCTCTACATTCAGTGGGTGACTGCAGACCAATTCTTTCAGTAAGATCCTTATCTTAATCTCATTGTTATGCCTTTAAAAAAAAAAAGAGCCCAATCAAACCTGGGTCCCGAGGGGACCTGCTGGGTCAGTTAAAGTCAAGGCCGAGAGGGCAGCTCAGAGAGCTGTGGTGGCCGTTCGGTGGAACGCCAAAGGGGGTAATCTTGAGTTATGGAAGGACGCAGGATAGAGGCTTATCTGGAAGAAGTTTTAACAAAATTGAAAACAACACTGATGGGAAAAGTTGCACTGAAGAATTTCCCCCCCTATTGAGACAATGCACCTGCTCATTCTACTGGGCAGCAAGAACTGGCCTGGGAGAATGTAACTGGGAAAGATTACCCTATTCACCCCATAGCTCTAGCCTTTCCCCTGCGGGCTTTTTTTTTTTTTTTTTTTTGAGTTCCCAATGCTCAAAAAACACTTTAAAAAGGGACACATCTTGAGTAACTCAAAGATGCCAGAATTGCACGGTATACACCAGAGTACATGATCCTTTGAAGAAAGTTTAGAGAGATGGAATCATTGCCTTCAGACATATGCACATACCTAGATGTGGGATATGTCAAGTAACAATATTCACATTTTGAATAATTTTTGTTTTTAATGAAGGTTTCTATTATCTTGCAGCAATATTTTTTTATTTAGCTTCATAGCACCTGACATAAAGTGGGTAATTAAATGTTTGCTGAGTGAATGCGAAGATGTTGAGAACAGCACATTGGCAATCATCTGGATGGTGCAGGGCCGTGCGGGGTTCTGCTCTGTTGTGCACAGGCTGCTATGGGTCAGAGCCTCCTCGATGGCACTGAACAACAACAATTCTAGGAAATGCTATTAAAATTATGAAAAAGTCACTATCTTCATATCAATAAACGTTTGGTCCTATAAACTATCTTGGCATTACTTAAACTTTACTGTCATTGACCAGAACAAAACAAAACAACATTTTTTAAATCACAACCATCCCAGTCCTTTGGAAGTCATTGACTGATGTGCAGATATTGAATGATGGAGGCATTCTTAATTCAGTTTGGCAAAATATTGCTGAGCCCAAAATGTTTGCCACAAAACTTGCATATGCCTATGCTAGAAAAGTGTAAAACTAAGCTAAACGAAGTTTAATGAAATGCTAAAGTTAAATGAAGATGATGGAAAAATGGTTTCATTTTTCTTCTTCTCTCTTAGAATGCAAAGCAGACTGTGATACCTGTTTCAACAAAAATTTCTGCACAAAGTGTAAAAGTGGATTTTATTTACATCTTGGAAAGTGCCTCGACACGTGCCCTGAGGGGTTAGAAGCCAACAACCACACAATGGAGTGCATCAGTATTGGTGAGGAAGAACGCTGAGACGCGGGATGGATGAGAAACACCTAACTAAAATGACCATTCCGTTTCCCTGAAGGTGCCTCTCCAAGTCCAAGGCCCCAAGTGACCTTTACTAAGAGGCTTCCCTCTCCTTCTGGACAAAGATACCATCTGGGTGGTGTTCTCACCACTGTGCCCATCACAGTACAATTTAATATCCAGGGGGTTCCCTATTCTTTCTAGGGGCTCTGATGGCATACTGGGTTAAGCATCAGGCAGCGAGCAAACCATCTGATCAGCTAGTTAAACCCATTTGTCACTCCGTGGAGAAAGATGAGGCTGTCCGCTCCAGCAAAGACTAACACTCTCAGAAACACTAAGGAGACGCTCTGCTTGTGTGTTGTTCTTTTAATGATAATCATTTTGATTATTAGATCATTATAGATTTATATTATATCAATATTTCTTGAAGTTTTACTTCTAAAAGTCAATATTCATGGAAAAGTGGAATTAATAGATAATGGAATATTCCTATCAACGTTTTGCCACCCCCTCATATAGTACACAGTTAATCCCTTCTTCTGCTTCTATTTAGTAGATCTTACTCTTCCACAGCATTTCCACCTGGGGGCAAGAGTTTTACAACAAAACACTGAGGTTTCATCTTAAACTGTGTGATAAGAGGTCCAAAGCTGATGTAGTTAAAAAATCTCACATTTTTTTCTCCCCCATTTCCTCACTGAAATGTTGCACAGGTACTCAGGAATAAGAAAGATGTTGGAATTTACCCAAACTGACAGGCTGAGATGGTTCCAGGGTCTGATTCATTGGGGACTGAGTTTCGGGGAGGGGAGGTCCCTCGGAGAAGTTGCTTGTCTAAATAAGGGATCACAGTCAGGCTATATTTTCCTCCTTTGAAATGCTGTGCAACTACTACAGCCATGGGTTAGATGAACACTTGGGGAGCAGATGCTAACTCACATGGGAAAACAGCATACTAAATCTCAGAATCCCCTAGGCAAAAACTGCAAGAGCCTTTGATGCTATGCTGAAATTGGTATTGGCATCCAAATGCCCTCCTGATTCTGTACACGATAGTCTCCAAGACTCCCCTGGGGTCTCCCAGTCCAGAGCCAATTGAATCTACAGTGCTGGAGTGAAAACCCCAGAATGGTGGTCTAACCAGTTCACGTCCGCTGCAGAACTCTTATTTCTAAACAAACTTCTTAGTAAAATGAAATAAATAGATGGTGTTTTAAAGATAGCTCCCCAAACATCTGGAAAACAACAATTCTCAGACAGCACATGGTTCATTATGGTTGTCTTTTTTCTTTAGTCAAGAAAAACAACATAGAAACAAGGGAAAAGGTACATGAAAAGGCCCTTCAAGTTTGCTCATTTTATGTCCCAAAGGCTAATGATTATAGAGTTTCAAACAGTGATCTTCATGAAGTATTCAAAAACAGAAATTCAGAATGAGCTCCAGAAAGTTTGTGCAGGATCAGGACAGATGTTTATATTGGGTGTTTAAAGGTGCAGCAGTCAGTCATTGAAAAGTGATTTATCAGGCTCCGAGATCAAGTAGAAAGCAAATGTTTTGAGAATGATGATGGCAACGAATATACAACTGAGCTTGACACAATGGATGGATGGATGGATTGTGATAAGAGCTGTATGAGTCCCCAATAAAATGATTTTTTTAAAGAAAGGTAATTTATCTTAAATGCATCAATGTTTTTCTATCTGAGAGTGCAATTAGCACTTGGTGCCATTAGGTTTATTTACAGCCTTGAGAAAATAGTTAGATTTAAGAAAAAAGGCTATCTACTTGGTGAAAAATTATCCAGTACAAACCCTATAGATCACCAGTCTGGGTCCATTGTACATGAAGGTCACCTTGGGTCAGGGGTCAACTAGACGATAGTTAACAACAGCAACATGCCTGAAAGTTGACTGGTGATTTACAAACGTACTGAAACAAAGACTATTTCTTAACACACTTAAATTTAAATTAGCACTGTAAAGGTCATTTATTGAATCTGGTTCAAATTGACCTAGGCCACAAAAGTAGGGCCAACTTCTGTTAGGGTGGGCGCTGTAGGGTTACTTCATGTCTCTGATTGCATATAAGTCTGGCCTACAGACATTCCATTTACTATGGCCTTGGCCCAGTATTGCAGGAAAAATAATGACTTGCTTCCTTATAGCAAAAGAGCAGTAAAGCTTGTTTCTTTAGCAAATGCAGAAAGCAGAAGCTGGAGAGCTGACAGACAACCCGGAGAGCAGTGACTGTCAGCCCTGTAACGGAGTGTATCCAGACGAATGCTCCCCAATGTGCACCCAACTAGTTGAAGAATCTATCTACTTTTGCTTAAATTGACACTCTATCACTTGTCTCCTACCTAGATTTCAAATTATAAGAAAACACCATAGATAGAGAAAATGTTGCCTTGATGGAGACTTAGGACCAACAACATAAACCACAATATCTACTGCATTCAATTTCCTAGACAAGCATGTTCACGTCACTGTGTGCCTTCAATGTTTTCTTATTTTCCGCATTGTCTTTCTGTCGTCTCGTAGCTCCTGGGGAGTTTGACTTACGGAGGTAGTGACAGATCTAAACACTGTGGAGCATATGACACAACCTACTTATACTCCCTCTGGAGCCATGAGCTCGGTCAACAAGAGTTAAAGCAGAAGAATATTGGTGGTGTAGCATCCAACTCAATTTTCATCCCAATTCAGAAATCCCTTTGGCAGCATTCCAAAGTAATGATCAAACACTACGTGACCACTCCCGGGGATTAGGAGCTCATTGCTCTCCGAGACGCTTGCTCCATTAGGGGAATCGCTAGACAGTTAGGTGTTCCTAATACCAGCGATGAGATAAATAGAGCAGTTGAGTAGATCTGTTTTGCCTTGTTTGTTAAATTAACTGGAGATAGTTTAAATCAACCTTTTTTGTTTTCTTCGGTATTTGTTCTAAAGCATTAATTTATTTGTAGAAATAGCTTTTGGACATTAACATTGTAGGTTCATTCTACGCTATTTCTGTCTTGTTGAGGGCAAAAATGTGCTATAAAACCAATACTGAAAATATTAATACATAAAGATTTAGGAAGACAAAGTTCTTTTTAAAAAATTTTCAGGAAAAGTTCATCTTCGAAACCACTTTGTCAAGTTAACTCTAGCAGTAGCATATCTGCTGAAATTGACTCAGCCTCTATCTAAAATCTATGCTGATAGGTCTAAACCACCTCCATAACAAATGACAATATTTATGGGACCAATAGTACATGAAGCAAAAAGTAAAAAAGGATGTGAATTAATAAGAGGCCAAAGAAATGTATGTGAGTTTTTGTTATTGTTGTTGTTTTTTGTTTTGCTCAGTATTTCTCTAGTATACAGGTTCTCAAAATATGTTCCCAGTACCTACAAATTGGTATCCTGTGCATTGTTTGAAATGAAAACTCCCAGACCACTAAATCAGAAACTCTGGGGGGTTCAGCCCAGCATTTAGGGATTTTTAAAAATCATTTTATTGGGGGCTCGTACAGCTCTTATCACAGTCCATACATCCATCCATTGTGTCCAGCACTTTTGTACATGTGCTGCCATTACCATTTTCAAAATATTTTCTACTTGGGCCCTTGGTGTCAACTCCTCATTTTTAAGTTTTTTTAACCCAGCATTCATTTTTTTAACTCAACCTCCAGAGGATTCTAAAAAAAGGACCTCTGGTAGCCTAGTGGGTTACATGATGGGCTGCAGTTCTCTTACCAGTTCTTCACAGGATCCAATTAGTAGTTTAAGCTGCAAAATGCTCTGGAATTTATAACCAAAACCAGTCACTGCCATTGAGTTTATTCCAACCCATAGTGACCCTATTGAGCTAAATAGAACTGCTCCTGCCGGGTTCGAGACCGTAATCCTTTAGGGGAGTAGGTGCCCCGACTTTCCCCTTCTGGGTGGCTGGTGGTTTCGAACCGCATATCTTGCAGTTAGCAGCCCAACATATACCCACTACACCACCAGGGGTCCTGTGGAACTTAAAAACCATTGGTCAATCGTGAGTACTTATGTGACTGAATTAATCCAATGTTGGGGAAAAAAAGTAAGCCCAATACAAGAATGAATTTACCTGGTAATATAGAACTAAAACATTGGAAACATTCTTTGCTTGCCTTTATCTTTTTTATTTGTAAAGCCATCTTGCCCAACTTCGATCCATAGCATTTCTGTTCTTATTTGGGAGAGTATGGATGTAAAAGAAAACCTTTTGTGTATGCAACAATAGTGAAAGTGGTTTCTGCCGTTTCAGTGCACTGTGAGGCCAGTGAATGGGGTCCTTGGAGCCCTTGCACGAAGAAAGGAAAAACATGTGGTTTCAAAAGAGGGACTGAGACACGAGTCCGAGAAATCATGCAGCATCCTTCAGCCAAGGGGAACCTGTGTCCACCCACCAGTGAGACAAGGAAGTGTACAGTGCAAAGAAAGAAGTGTCCAAAAGGAGAACGAGGTACAGCCATGCTAACAAAATGCACTCGCTCGGATCCTTGTGATTGGAAGTTTAAGTTCATTGTACTGCTGGGGAAACTTTTCGCATTATCATTTGTGTCAAAAACCCTAAAATGTCTACCAAATAATATGCCAGCTATCAATTAAACAGTATATACATGGTAGTTTTAAAACATATAGCCAAATCTCAGAACTATAAACGGCCACGAGAGAGTGTTAATTAAGTTCTAACAAGGTTGAGTTGTACTATGTAGACAATTAAGCCATTATGATTCTGAACATTCGCTTTCCTAGTACCTAGAAAATTTTCACAGAAGTCTCAAAAAGCCCTGAAACCAATGCTATTTGATACAAGCCCATGGTGGCCATCAACTTACTCTTTTCCTTGTTACCTACAAACCAAAATAGGGAAATAATTTGCAAGCTTTTGGTAGATAAACATATTTTATGGATCACATAGAATTTTTAAAATATTTAAGTAGACATATATTTAATACTAGCTTTACATTTGAAATAAGTGACCAAAGACATATTTTTATAATATAATACATTCACTAATGACATTCTACTCTCAGATATCCTTAATTTTAAAAAGCATTTAAAATTCCCAAGACAAAATGTATTACATTTCATATTTACATGGCATCTTTTAGATCAATATTAAATAACTGTATCAGAGCCTGGTTCCTAAGTTGTAAAATTGACAAGGAGAAAAACACCCTTATTATGCTGCTCAAGGATGATCCGATTTCCATTTGAGAGAACCACAGTTGTTAACCAGTAAAATACAATTTTTAAATCTTTAAATCTCATTTCTATGTCTTTTACATTACTGTTTCCAGCACTGCTACCTAGGAATATGCTTGCAGCTTCATATAACTACTGTCAGTTGTCCGGTGACAACATAATTATCTTCTCAATTCACTGTACCTTGGAGGAAGTTGCGCTGCCTCTGTAGTTGAACTTCCTGAACATCATTCATCCATTCGACATAGTTTGACAGAAATTTTATTTTATGCCACACATAGTGCTAAACCTTGGGGATATTCAGAATGAGTACTGTACTATCACTACACTAAAATATCAAGACATTTAGGCCGAACATCATAATATCCCACAGCTTTGGGGATTATAGACATGCAAAGAATGAGAACACAGAAGAAAGTGCTATGCAAACTTGAACATTATCATCCAAGAAACAATTGGACTCATCAGTGCTTTTGAAAAGCGTGCTTTCACAAAAAGAATTCTCAATCTCCAGAAGGTGTAGACGGGACTTTCTACTCCTGGAAAAAGTTACAGTCTCAGAAACTCACAGATGGAGTTCTACCCTGTACTATAGGGTCACTATGTATAGAGCTGGTTGTTGCCATTAATAACCAAGTAGTTAATGTGATGAAATTCTTGAAGGCAAGGGTCATTTTAAGAACTTCAAGGTTTTGTAAATTTGTAAGATGTTTTGATTAAGATTTAGTTTGAGGAATGAAAGTTGGCTTGTGAAAAAGGTCTTTCTGGCATTTGTTACCAATTAATTTAAAACATCTTAGATTTTAAAAGTTGGATTTGGAAATCAAATATTTCATCACTCTACTTGTTGGTATGTTCCCATAGTCGTACATTTACTTGTGTTTACTAAAATTTTTTTTGGAAATTTAATGACTTACAGGTGGCCTTTGTTCATTTTAATCTTTCTACAAATATTCTACATGGTGAATTAGTTTTCAGTACATTTTGCTTTTGATGTAAGTGCAAAAAGCTTACAGTAGAAAAACGATAATGCTAATTACATTGTTTTTTGAGAATGTGGTCTTTTCTAATATTTGATTTAAATATTAATATTGAAAATAAGTTATTAAGACTACTAACTGATGAGATAAAAAATGGTGAAAGTTTAAAATACACCCACTCTTCACTTGTCTACATGGTTATGCTTCAGAGACCAGATAATTATACAAAATTTGGCCCTATGGAAAAATGGAGGATGGTTACATTAGATCACAAATCACGACCCCATTACATAATATACAAACTTCATTATTATATAACTTCCAACAAACTGACAGCCCCTCCTTAGCCAGGTTGACACATAAACTTAGGCAGCATCACTCTCAGCTTTCACCTCAACATTCATTACCACCAAATGTATGTGGTTAATGTTCGAAATATTTGGATAGTAGAAATTTTACCATCATAGTCAACTAGCCTGGAAACATAAACTTTGAAGAAACTTACCTTTATCTCTATGCTTTATTTCCCTTAGTACTCTTAAAACTTGTCTGAATATTAACTTTTCAAAGCTATTCAAAAATGAAGAAACCAAGTAGAATGTGATTATAACCACTGGACATTGCCTATACTGAATATTACATCATAATACTAACATTATCTCTTTTGAAATACGAAAGAACAAAAAAATCAGCCATTGTTTTTAAAGAATTTATTATCTAAATGGCAAGAAGCACAAATAGAAAGAAATGAATTTTCAAGACTGAATTAAAGACATGACTTTGGTTTTTCTTTATGATTTTTTTATGAGTTAACATTGTTATTTCAACTAAGATATGCCTTAGAAATCTTAGGCAGCCTTAAAGATAAACATAGTAAAGTGAAATAGGTGATGTCTCCTACTGCTACTCGTGCCACTGGGGGTTAGAGGTTAAGTTCCTTAAGGTCAGTGGTTCAAACTCACTAGCAGTTTCATGAGAAAAAGATGAAGCTGTCTGCTCCAGTAAAGAGTTCCAGCCTCCACAGGGTCAGTACAAGCCAGAATCCACTAGATATCAGTTGATTATTGTAAGAGCTTCCAGCTTGACCCTATCTCAAAATGCTAACAGATAGACTACTATGACATATACATGGAAAAATTCTGAAATTCCATTTTCTGCAAGCTTTTTGAAGTCCCTTGTATATTAAAACAACATATTAAAATAGACTTTAAAAAAGAGAAAATGCATTTTCAGTGGTTAGCAGTATAATTTTATTTTAATTGTTTTGATGTACTGCATGTAATCATGTAAAAAAGGGAAGTTAAACAGGGCAGGGAGATAGATATGTGTGTGCCGGCATTTAATGCAAAAGGGTTTTGCTTTGCTTTTCTGGGGAGGGGTCAGTCATTAAAAATGTGTTGCATTCATTTGTACATTAATTGAAGAGAATTTGCTATGTATGTTGAGTTTTTCATGTGGTGATTCATAAAGAATGGACATTTTCCTCTTTGGTTAAATGCATAAAGGTTTGACTCAGTTCAATTCTGCTCCCAAGTGCTCCACTCCTATTCTGACATTAATACACATGCATTACCACCTGAGATGGGTCAGAAATCACCGATTAAAGAGCACAGGTCTCTAGACTTCCAGGTTTGTCCAAGACTTCAGATACCAGCCACAACCTTGACACATCACCAGACATCTCCACTTCTTATCTGCTATCTACAAATGCAGAAGTTCCCTCTACTCTCTTCTCACCTGCTAGCTGCTACAACTGCCTCAGATTTGATAATTTGTTAGAATAACTTACAGAATTCATGGAAAGTGCTATATTTATGATTACAGCTTTATTATAAAGAATGCAAATTAGGATCGGTACAAAGAAAAGACTCACAGCATGAGGTCTGGAAGGGAGCTTCCATGTTTTAAAAAGATCTTGTTCCCTCCAAAAAAGTTGTATTCATCATCCACTAAGCCCATGGAAACTCAATGTGCAGAGCTTCTATTGCAGGTCTTATGTAATTCAAGTTCCAGCCCTATTCCCATGAGGCCAGCTATCACAAGGTCTACATCAGGAGGTCCCTATCACAAGATCGATAACGCGTAACACTACAAAGCTTTCTGGTCTACTCAACCCTTGCCCCACATGCGTTACCTCACACTGGACTCCTCATCAAAGACACTCCAGTCCTGGGATAACATCCAAGGTTCTAGAGTATATCCCTCAGAAACCAAGGACAAGGGCTAAATCCTTTGGATAAAGTTAAATTCTTCTTTTTTTCCCCCAAAACTAATTTATTGGGACTTAATACAGGTATCATATCATTCCATAGTTCAATCACATCAAGCAATATTGTACAATTGCTACCATAATCAGTTTCAACACATTCTTATCCTTCTTGAACTCCTTGACATCAGCTCCCTTTACACCCCCCCCACCTCTCACCCCACCTCACCCCACCCCCACACCACCACCCCCACTATATCCCCTATAAACTATTATTCTACTTGCTGTCCCAATGGGTTCAACAATTCTAGATTTCATATACTGATAAACAGAAAAGTAATACCAAAAATTCAAGAAAGTGACCCCCAATGATATACACATCTGAGATAAACCCCCATATGAACAAACAAAATAAAAATATACAGTAAATGTTTCAAACCAGATCAGGCCTAAGGTGCATGGGTGCGGGGTGGGGGTGGTGTGGGTCAACTGACAAGGTTTTAACCATTCCCATCAGGTTCATCTTTTTGGTCTTCTATAGTGATCTCTCCTATGCACTCTGTTTAGTAACCACTTTCCTCCCTTCTATTATGGATAGAGGGAAATCACCAGAGGCTTATTTCCTATGTAGATCCCACAAATGTATTTTGGGCTCCCACTTAAAGTTAAATTCTTTAGCACACAGGTATGTTCTAGGCATAGAAAAGAGAAAGAACAGGGTCATGGGGAAAATGGGGTTGGGGGGGTGGGTGTTGTCTACTTTCCTGGCCTTGAAAATAACTAGCAACCATTTTAACAAAGAGAGAAAAGAATCCACTGAAAAGGAAAGCAATAAAATGTCTGGAAACATATCCAGGGAAGAAACAGGTGTGAATTGTTACATGAGGGCATTACTTTGTATTCGTTATGGGTCAGTTCCTGTGCCTACCCAAAATTTAATAAAATTAAAACATCCAATTTTATATAAAGGAAGAGTGTTATTTACTGTCATATATTATTAATTATGCTATGAAATGTATATTTATATATGTAAATATGTGTATATATGTATGAACATACATAATGTTG